TTCCTTGTGCTTAAAACACCCAGCAGGCCTCTTTGTCCGTAGATGTGTAAAAGTCTCTTCCGGTCCACTGGTGTCCTCACTCGAATATGCCCCTGCGCTGCCTGGGATCCCTGCTGCATCCCGCTTGTTCTCCACCTTTCATGGTTAAACTTATCTCCACCATCCTAATGAGGCTTCAGCTCACCCCATGTGATAACACTGCATAATAAGTGAATGGGAGGGTGAATGCACTCTACAGAGCAGGGATATACATTTCCTGTCTGTAAACTATACAATTATGATAGCGAAGCATCTGCTGGTGACATACACTTTAAAGGTTCGTTCACACTGGCCCACATGCTAAAAGTTTCAGTTTTAGCATGTGGGCTAGTACGGTATGCGAGGTCCAGTGGTGGTTGGTTAATATGCTGTTTGAGCGCATCACACTTTTTAGTTTTTTCTTTTTTTCACTTTATTTGGAGTGTATAAAGTGTACACTCTATTCATGTATCTGCACAGCGACAGGGTGTGCTGTGCTGCATTGCAGAAATCTGTAGTGTGATCCAATGTGCTGCAAAAAAATACAGCATATTTGCCCTTTTGTGCACTGCACACATCACACCAGCACAGGGCACATAGAACACAATTGTTTTCTTTGTGGCCCAGCCGTGAATCAGTTACTGAAAACCAGTTGCCGCTTAACGGGGACGTCAAACTCAATTTGACATCAAAGGGCTTTTGTAAGACTATATAAATCTATCTACTCTTTATCATAATAAATACCGGTAATTGCCTCTGCATTCGATTATTATTGGTTTTAGTAATAACTTAATAACTAGCTCTGAAAGTAGAAGTATAAGACAAATAATGGCAATTAGGGTAATATTGCAGACTCTCAGGTGGCTGTGCAGGATCTATGGTGGGCTGTGCAGACCCTTAGGTGGACTATGCAGCTCTATGGTGAGCTGTGCAGACTCTCAGATGGCTGTGCAGGTTCTATGGTGGGATGTGTAGACTCTCAGGTAGCCATGCAGTTTCTATGGTGTTCTGTGCAGACTCTCAGGTGGCTGTCCAAGTTCTATGGTGGGCTGTGAGGGCTCTCAGATGGCTGTGCAGGTTCTATGGTGGCCTGTGAGGGCTCTCAGGTGGCTGTGCAGGTTCTGTGGTGGGCTTTGTGGGATCTCAGGTGGCTGTGCAGGTTCTATGGTGGGCTGTGCAGACTCTCTGGTGGCTCTGCAGGGCCTATGGTGGGCTGTGCGGGATCTCAGGTGGCTGTGTGGGGTCTATGGTGGGCTGTGTGGGCTCTCAGATGGCTGTGCAGGTCCTATTGTGGCCTGTGTGGGCTCTCAGGTGGGTGTGAAGGTTCCATGGTGGCCTGTGCAGGATCTATGCTTGGCTGTGCAAACTCCATGGTGGGCTGTGCGGACTCTCAGGTGGGCTGAGTGGACTCTCAGGTGGACTATGTTGGGCTGTGCGGACTCTCAGGTGGGCTGTGCGGATTCTCAGGTGGGCTGTGTGTGGGCTATGGTGGGCTGTGCAGGTTCTATGGTGGGATGTGTGGACTCTCAGGTGGCTGTACAGAGTCTATGCTGGGGTGTGCGGTCTCCTTAGAGACACCGTTGATCCACAGGAAGGTGGAGATTGGCAAACATGCACCACGATTCAAAGGAAGGCTGTGGGCTTTGTTTTAAAAATGTAAAGCTGCAGGAAAGGTGCGAGGGCCACATGAAATGGCCTGACGGGCCATGTGCCTTAACTGGTCATTTCTGTCTGTTGCCATTCGTATTCGGAGGCAACAAGCCTCTGAATCCGAAACCGCACACTAAAATGGCAGAACGAGCGGCGGCCATATCGGCCGCATGTTCGAGCATCGCCATCTTGGTGTATACCAAAATCTACTACAAAACGGTGGTGAGCAGAATGCGCCGGCGGCCGATCTGGCCCCTGTTCGTTCAGCGTGTGACATCACATGCTCTGCCTCCAAGATGGCGGCAGGCATGCGCAGAACACGCCGGCAGCTAACATGGCCACCGGCGTGTTCTGAAAACAAATTTGTGTATGCCCGAATATCGTTGTAGCATATTCGGGCATATATTAAATTCGTTATTTCGGATTCGGACGAACCACCGAATCAACTAATTTAGTTGATATGCAGGTTCGTCCGAATCCGAATGCACATGTCTACAGCTTACTAAGACACACAAGAGTGGCTCCACAGGAGAAAGGAGCCGCCCTAAAACAGGATATTAGGGCCAGTGATTAGGGGACCAGCTGATTCTGCAAGAAACTAAAACTTTTAAACATCAAGGTACAGTATCTATTGTAAGTGCTTTATTAAGCATTTGAAATAGCTTAAAAGCCTTTTGACTTTCATATTACCTTAATGTTCTATATACACAATTGTAGTCTAGTGTCACAGGAGATACAGTAGTGTAAACCTTGCCTTGACTATGGGATTTTAGTCATTTACAACTGACAACAAAAAACCACAATGACTTAAACATATGTTAAGCAGTATGTTGCACAAAAATCACACTAGAGTCACTAGTTAATAAAACATGTTTCTTTATTGTATTTAGAATTATATTTGTTAAATATAAACTGTAAACATCAAGGCATGTAGAACTCTACTAGTTTATTTACATATACAAAATACCCAAGATAAATAAGCATAAAGATCAATGTTATTTTTCTTATGAATACTGCGGTAAACAAATGTTCTTCTATCTTGCTATATTTTGAGGCATCCTCAGTGCAAGCTCCTGGCATTATTGTTCCTATTATAGGATATAATATCTGAATTTATACAAGCCACCTATCATATGGGAAGATAACATTTAAAGCAAAACAAAGGGTCTTTTTTGACCAAGACAACCAGTTATATTGCCTTCCATTTCTAACCCCCACTGGGTAACTGGTGGTAGAAAAATGCATGGTTGTTCTAAAAAGTTCCCCTGAAATCTGTTTTAACTAAATCAACCCCATAGTTCATATAAGTGTATATGCAAAATCACATACTAAAGTGGCATTCGGACTTTGTAATTTACCCAACTAGAAGCTGAGGTCAAACAAGAGAAGGCAAAGCATACAGAGACTCTCCAGTCATCCACACCAGTCAGAGTTAATAAAACTGCCTTGTTATTGAACTCTTCCCAGAAGCAGCTGTCTACCTTGATAGATGTTCACTGAATCATTCTGTGGGAAGCTAGTTACAACCTCAGCTTCTGTATATTTTAATTGCCTCTGAAATTTCTGAATCCAATATGAGATCTGGATGCTGACACAAGACTTTAAGAACTTCTTAATGTAGTAGTAGTAGTAACTAGGGTTGCCACCTTTTCTTCCAGCGAAACACGAACACTCTAGCGACGCACAGAAATTTTTGGTGGGAGAATGAGTCGCTGCTTATTCATATGTAAATAGCGCCGCCCATTCATATGTAAATATCACAGTCAGGACTATTTTCAGTGGGGGGTCAGTAGCCCCTATCTTAATTTTGGTTGCCCCTTTCAAAACCCGAACTGTCCAGGTGAATCCTGGACAGGTGGCAACCCTAGTAGTAACACGTGTAATTTTGTTCATGGAATATTCTCTAGCAAGGCTGGCCAAAAGCCAGGAATTCTCCTCAGGCACTACAACCACTGACTGGGATTGTCAATAACTAAACTCACAGCAGAAATTCTACTTTTGTAACAGAAACATCCATATCTTCACAGATGATGCAGTCTCGGAGTTCATAAAGACAATGTAAAATCAAACAGCTTTCTAAAGACCCTTGTGAAAGATGTTATCTTGAAGGAGCATGCTGTAGAGTTAAAGGATGTGATTTACTAAAGGAGCAGAGCATGTTCACTTCGCAAGGGAATTTGAATACTGAAAAATGGCCTGGCCAGGAAGGGGGTCTAAACACCTGGTCTTGAAGTGGTTAAAAGTAAATATTTTCACTTGATGGTTATGGTCATGCAAACTTTCAAGTCTGTTTTGTGGATGATATCTGTTTACAGCAATTGGAAATACTAAATTCTAATCCCAGTCTGGTTTGATGAATATTGTAACCCAACAGTCTGTTATGATAAGAAAGACAACCCTACAAAACTGTTGGCATGAAAGCAATAAGCCCAGTACCACCATAAGGTAAGGTAGCAATACTTTATATAACCCTGCTTAGGCAGCCCATTTTTCTAGATATAAATGTGAGACGTGGTCAATTAACAAATTACAGCTGTTGCAGAAAATTGTAATAATGGCACATGAGTATGGCAATCATGGGATGGAAAACATAGCAGTGGGTTGGATATTCCTAACATCGAATGAAAATGAAGAGGCATGGCTTCTTCTAAGTGTTTATTTACCAGCGTTCTTTCATTTTGCTCTTTCTACTGAAGTCCTATGGAAATCTTTACGTACGCTACGGTAATATCTTGGAATTAAAAGAAAATATAATTCCCAATTATTTTCATTTATATTTCAATGAAAGGTTCTTGCTAACTTCCTGGCAAGATTTGGTTCATAATTTTTTATTGGTAAATGGTGTCCTCATCCCTTTAGATATTTCCCACATCTGGGTGATTCAGCAGCATGCATACTTGTGAGCAAAGCTGACATACACCGTATATTTTATATTTAAATAGGATTCACACAGCACAATAGGACTTATTTATTAAGACACTGTGAAGGTTTGTGGTTTGCAGTCACCCATAGCATTCAATCCAATTTCATCTTTTATCACTTTATTTGAAAGCTGTTGGTTTAGATGATTCTTTGCATTGTTCTGGTTCTTTGCATTGTTATTATATTAACAATGATGGTTCTTTGCCTTGTTATTATATTAGTTCATAAATGAGAAGAGATTCTAGGAATCAATAGTCAAAGATGACCTTTATGTAGTAAACATGGATAATGAAAATGCAAGAAAGAGGTAGATATATTTAAAAAACCAGGAACAGCAATGGTAAGAATATTATCTTGAATCATGTTATATTCCATTTTCTCTCCACTCTGCACGCAGGGCAAATGCAATCCTGTAGGTTTAAAGAGCTCATTTTTGTTAGCTGTTGTCTTTTTTGTTTCTCAGTAGTAGATAATTTAGTCCAATTACTGTCTCTGCAAAGTCAACCAGTTCTACAAAATCTGATGTAATGATATTAACACCCACGGCACCTGGTCTCTGCATCTTCACCCAGTTCAATATCATTGGAAGATTCCTAGGAAAAAAAACAATGTTATTAAATACAAAAATTGAACTGCTATTTCCTTTCTGTTAAAATAGGCATGGAAACATGCATGCTTTGCTCTGTTATGTATTATGTAGGTTTTGGTATAAATTAGTAGGATCTTTCCCAGAATGAGTCCTGGACTAGGCTGTATTGATTGACTGCAGTCTCGTCGGTACTGTCTGGCGCCTGGATTATAAAACTAGTTGACAAGAATGACATCTACTTCAGCAGCTAAGACATTTTACATATATATATTTTAGATGTTTTCCTAGCTAGGTCCACCAGAACCTGCTTATTCAGTACTGGATGAACACTGGCAAACAAATGTACAGGATGGATTTTTCATCTAAATCTGCATCCTCCCATGCACTTTAAAATGGGACAATACAGAGCTCTCTAAGGATTATGAAGGCCAGACAGCAGAACTGCATACGTTTAGATTAAAGTAAAAAAACAGAAGTTAACTGTCTGGAGGGATAGGGGATATCTTGCTTAAGTAAACAGCAATTGCCCTGGATATTCACTAAATCTAAAGATATGGATGTACTTTAATGTCACAATTTAGATAATGATGTTTTACAGCAATGAAAGCATTGATAAGGAGGAGTTAGCCTCAATGCAATATTTGGCCAAGGTAGATATTACTATTTAAGAAGACGATCTTGCAGGACTTCTAAGGTACACACAGCAAACACAGGTTTATTGTTCATAGTGACCTTACGTATATATGTACTGTATATGTGGCATATAATCATTGCCCTTGGGTGCATATACATTCCCTCTTCTAAATCCTGCTTATTAGAGCAGTGCCTTCTGTTTACTGTGGAAAATATCATCCAGCTTCTCCTGTGCTATGCATCATATTACCATGTGATCACACATCACATGATGCAGGGCTCAGAGGAAGCTGGTTGCCATTTCCCTGGACTAAACAGCATGTGCCAACAAGTAGGGCATCATTGGGGAGTATCCAATTACCACTGTGCCAAGTTACTGCAGTGGTACAGCCAGTAAGAACTTGCCCTTGCATAGTGGAAAGCCTAAAGCACTATACCATCAAGAAAACGCAGGACATGTTTGGTAAAGAAAGGTCATACAGGTCTCCAAAGGCAGGGGCCTGTTCACAGTTCTAACTTTTGCAACTCCTGTTCTTACACTGATGGGATCTGTAGAGCCTCCTGAGAAGCTTTAGGATCCCAAATAAGACGGCTGAGGATCCCAAGACGGCTGAGGGAATCTAGTGTAACTTCACTATCACCTAGGAAAATGAGCCAGAAGCTGGTGTCTGAGAATTTGTTTTAATGTCAATGTTTTTATAAGTTTTAAGCTAGCAAATCTACATTAAGGAGGACTATAAATAAGTAGAAGTTATGATGTAAGGTAAATTAAAAGTATCCAACTTCTGAAAGATGTGTTTTGCATTTCCAATCTATAACTTTTTTCTAAAATGTTATAGTAAACAGTACAGCAGAGTTTATTTTATAGCTATCATATGAAGTAAATCAGCAAATACAAATGATCTAGGTTTACCCAGTGCAGAGGTTCACATTTTAACATTTACCTGTGGACGAGAGTATTTTTTAATCCTGCTTTCAGTCCTCTTAAAATAGTTTTAACTTGTGGGGTTAAAATAGCTTGTGATACATGGAAAGTCCCTCGCTTAGACCGTTCTCCAAGAGTTGTTTCTAAAAACTGAAGCAACTTATGAACGTTCGTTGTGTTTGCCCAAGGTGCTGGCATTTTATTTCCTGCCCATAAAAAGGGGTACTCGTTCCATAAATTGTAGTGGTAGAAAACCAAAACCTTAAAAAAAAATGAAAACATTATATAAAAACATTTTCCACATTCTGGCATATGTAAGAAAAGACGTATATAATATTAGGTGACAAAGAAGCTATGTGCACTGGAACAGTGGCTCTGAACCTGTGTAACCTCAGGACCCACATTTGTCCTAGGTCATTAAATTGCGACCCAAGTTGCGCCACACTGCAATGCATGGCATTGCTTTACATCGCGTTCTGGTGCAGGCAATCGAACTGTGGGCGAGAGGTGCGTTTGAGGTGTAATTCAAATGAATGGCAACGCAATGCACTTGCCGCACCAGAACGCGTGGTTGGTGCGATTGTGTGGTACAATGCGTTAATCGCATGGCACTATGCGATTAACGCACGGTAGTAGTGTGAACGAGACCTCAAAAACACTGATAGGCACACACAACCACAGACACAATCTCACACACTCATAAACACACACACTCAAAAAACATTTTTTTTTTTTTTTCAAGTTCCACCCAGTCTCCCTATCTTATAAGAACTTGACTGGATCCTCAGCCTGGGGTCCAGTGTGGGCTGCTGTGCTGTGACAGAGCTCCATCTATTTGTACATTACATTGTCCCTTGCGTGCCCTGTAGAGGTACCGGGAGCCAGAATGTGACATCACTCTGGTCCAAATTATCTGTGATCTACCGCACTCCAGACCAGAATCCCAATATAAAGGTGGGTGTTGGTATGACCTGCGGATGACGCTGCGTAAATCATAGAAGTATTGAAATAGTCACCCGCACTCCAAGGTCAAACATGCTGGATGTCTTTTATTCAAATGCTAGGCAATCATAATGACACAGTGCAAAAAAGAAGCATTTCGGAACCGAGTATGGTCCCTTTATTGGGCAAACACAGTGACAACCACAAGCTATTAGTGAAATAGTTACATACCCCCCTGACATGATGATGAGTTCATTATCCCGCCTAAAGTTAATTCAAATAAATGACCGTTATATCTTGATAAACATTCCGGTCCAGGCACCTCTATGTGAGGGAGCTGTAAGCAATGCATGTATAGATGGAGCTCTCTAGCGGCCATACCACCAGCCCACCCCATCCTAAGTTGATACTTGGCGATGGGCAGCATATTTTGAATGGCTGCTCAGTGCCAGAACTGACCGTGCTGCTCTAAGGGGAGACTGAGCAGCCTAGAGACTGAGCATGCCTCTCACCTAGCGCAGTGGAAGGCATGCGGCGACCCACTGAACACGGGATTGCGACCCACCAGTTGAGAACCACTAGAACTTTAGGATGAAAGCATTGCCTAGTGTAGTGCATTCCTAAGAACACACCATAATGGGCCAGAGGAGTAGTTTGATGGTGTGAGGAAACATAGAGATTGGAAGAGGAAAGCTAGGCTATGGAGAAGACACATGGGGCTGGAGGCAGAAGAAGAAAATGCTGCCCAGGAACAGAGGTACCTTGTGTTTTCCCACAATTGCCAGGCAATGCTGGCAATTTGCCAATGTATTGTAACAATTGCTGGTATATTGCTATAGTTGCTATTGCGTTGCTACAATTTACTGCATATGTGTACTGCCACAATTAATTGCTATTTGCTGCTTTTAAAATTCAAACTGCAGTGCCTACACAATTATTCGTCATAAGCATTTTTATCTTTTTGTACCATACTGTCAAAGAGCAAAGCGAGAAGGACATTTTTACTGTTTTTGAACATTAAATTGTATGATGTAAAAAAAAAGTACCAGCTATCAGAGGGGGTTTAGGAAGCAAGTTACTAACAAAATAAGGCCAACAATCAAGCTGTCTCTCATTTACAAAATCATTGTGTATCTTTGCAGCCTCTGCTCTTGCAGTCCTAAACAGATGGATTTCATAATCTTGCTAACATCTTTGACAGATTTAGCATTGCAATAGTTTAACATGTAAAACATGGTATGTTTATTATTGTTCTCCTTTGTAACAGCACAGCGAAGAATATATGAATCAAGCTGTGATGGAACATAAATCTGCCTTATACTCTGTATTATTGTTCCTGTTTTGTATTGTCTGCACTGCAACATCCCTCTACCAGAGCAAAATGTACCCTGGTCACGCAGGCATATGTGTTTGTGAACAAAGGAACCCATGTATATAATCAAATTGCTCCACGTCCTGTTTTAGATTTTTGTAAAGTTACCAAACTATGAGCCTTTGCTCATTACAGAATTTAAATAATGCCAGTGGGAAGTAGGGATCTAAATATTGCATGGAATTAGGGCCATAATTGTAAGTGCAAAAAAAATTGCCGCATTTCGCCCCGTCTAGCAATGCAATGAATTGACGTTACAGACCACAATCCAATGACATCTAAGTGTATTAATAGCCAATACTTTTTTTGTAGTTTTGAATGGAGTAGGGAAGGTTTAAAACCCCTATCATGTTTTTATGCAGTCTTGTCCCTGATGGGTAATTCCGCCCTCTCTATGGGTCCTGGTCATCACTGTTACCAGAACTGGCAGTGAGGCTAAATCGTCCAGTCAGCTCCTGCCTTGGTCCTTTGTATATAATTCTCTTATGCTGCAAGAGGCATGTCATCCGTGTCAAGGACCAAATTATTTCCTGAACGCACAATCATTCTATTGTCCTGTCCAGCAAATAGACTGAGGCAACAGACCACAATCCAATGGCATCTATTTTTTTCTGGTATACCTTGACAGGGACAGGGATCTGTCCCTCTTCTGTAACCAAATCCCTCTATCCCTCTTTCTTCCTCAGCTGTCCCTGCTTTTGATCTGATTTTTGATCTGACTTCTTTTAAAATGTGTAATTTAGCTATCAAAATGCTTTACTGCACTAGACCTTTTATCCAACATCTGAACCATTGAATTTGTTATTTTAAAAAGTAATATATAAAGGAAAAGTAGTGGTATAAAAAATACTTTTGGGTTTCACCAATCAAACTTTTTGTGCGTATTAATTCTTCATGGTCTGCACAACATGGAGAAGCGTTTCCTTTGCCTTAGTGTTATATGGTGTCTCCCATTTCAGAAAGTTGGGAGGTATGCTAATAGTGTCCATCTCTAACACAAAAAAGATCGTTATATCATTATAGCAATGATCAGATTCCTGGGGATGCCAACTCATCTCTGTAATTATTGACACATCAGAGTTATACTGCTTCAAAGTCTGATTGGATTGAGCCTCGTGTACCTCATCTGGATTAAGGCTGCAAAAGCTGTGCAATTTAAGAGTCATTAATTACAAGGATGATGCAGCAGTCCTCGTGACAGATCAAGGAACGTGCTGCTAGGGATGAGAGAAGCTGACAAACTGCATAAATACAAACTGGTAATATAAATGTCACTGTGGGTCCAAGATTGATTTTAATGTGTGAAAATATATTTGTCTAGGACAATGGTGTAGGTAATGGTGGTGACTTAAACATATGGCCTCCAGATCAACACAAATTGAACTGAAATTAACAATTAATATTATACTGTACATATTTGTTGACCATGAAGAAGACTTATTATACAATCCGAATAATATCTGAATAATATTACATGCTAATTTATCACTAAACACATTGTAACCGCCATTATTGGGATGTAATTGGGGTGATGTATGGTCATTTCCCCTAGAGGCTTTTTGCAAATGTTAAAGGAGCACTATGGGGTCAGTGCTTTTCCCCATAGTTCTCCTAAGGGTAACGGGAGAACACAAACTAGCATCCTCCCGTCACCCAAAGCTACAGCTCGCTGCATACTGAGAGCGATCTCATTGTCACACGTCGGCTTGAACTATGAGGTTGAGTGAAAATCACTCACCTCATAGTTCTCCTTTAAGCTTTATATCATTAGGGTGCATGCACCACCTCACTCCTACCTTTCCTCAGTTTTTCACTCCACCCTAGTTGTAACAGCCTTCTTAGTTTTTTTACACTCTTTCACATAGGCCCAATGGGCTACAACCCCATCCACATGAATTTACCACTGTGCTCTCCCTCCATCCCTGCAGCTTTGTGACTCCCCCACAGAGCCCCAGCCCCCACAGTTCAACTGTGTCCCCCACTGTGTGCCAATCTCCACCCACAGCTCAGTCACTTCTGCACACAGTCCTGATTCCTGCAGCTCAGATAAGTCCATCCACTGTGCCCAGATCCCCAAAGATCAGCCACTCTTCTGCTGATCCCCATGGCTCACAATATTCTCCATTCTACCCAGATCTCAACAGCCCTGACACTTTTCCACTGTGCCCTGATCCATGAAGCTCAGACAGTCCTCCACTAAGCCCCGGTCTCCACTTCTTAGTCACTCCTCCACAGTGTGTGGATCTGCACAGGTGAGCCACTATTCCACTGTACCCCAATGCCCGCATCTCAGTTAGTCCTCCAAAATTCCCAAATTTCTACAGCTCTGACACCTATCTACTGTGCCCCGATCCCTACCACTTCTCCATAGAGCCCTAATCTCCACAGCTCGTAGTATCACAAGCGAGATACATACAAAGATAAATTAACAGTTTTTGCAGCACAGCCGACAAGAAAAATTGCACAAGTGGGCTTTCATCTGACAATTGGGCAACCTTTGTAATCGACTCTGTCCTAAGTTTAAAACTCAAAGTTGGGTGTTACGGAATATGCAGCAAGCTCAGGAAAGATGTTCTCTAGTGGCTGATTGGATTGATGTCTTACAATACTCCCATAGACAATTGTAAGACCAGTGTGTTACTAACTGTAGTGCTTCCTTTCGTGATCTCCACATATTTATATAGTACACACCTTTGTGCCCAAACTGGTTTGCAGTAATACAGAAGTACTACCCTATACAAAGTGATCCATCCAATCCAAAACTATTTATTGGATAAGCTTTAGGTACTGGAACTATTTTAGGACACGACTTTCTGACTGAGCACTTCTTGGTCCTCTTATGCTACCTTAGACTGGGTTGTTTGAAACTCCCTAATCACCTTACCTATGGTTCTAACACTTAGAGAACCAGTGTTGTAACAATAATCATAGCAGTCCATTGGAATTCTATGGGGCCTGGGAAGAGAAGGGAGCCCCATTAAGGGGGCTGTTAAGGCAATATTAAAATATTTAAAAAAACATAGTTTAAAGAAGGATTATAAAGTTATTGTGTGGAGGTGTATTAACAAATATGTCATAATATAAAATATTGTGATGATCACTATTATTGCTACTACTTATAATATATTATTATTATTATTGCTACTACAAGCTTTGCTTTTTTTCCCGCTTTTTACAGATTACTGCACCACCTCTTCCTGAACTTGCTTACTGTACCAGTGGTAGGGGTTAGGGGGCAGGGCTAGATGCTGAAAAGACTGGTGCACTACGCTAGGACAGAGTTGTTTCATGGGAAATGAATGTTAAAAGTTAATTCCCTGCACTGCTACCCCCTCTAACCTAACAACTTCGGTCCACAGCGTTGGTCCCTAGTAGTGTGTGTACTGAGCTGATTATGCTGATGGCTCTCCTAATATTTGTCCTTGATTTAGACATACTTTATGTCAATATTGATTACAGGCAGGTCATGGGGGGGGATCAAAATGTTGCTATGGGGCCCCATGATCTGTAGTTACACCCCTGTACATAGTCTACTACATGATACTCTCCAGATCTGAAAGCTGGTAAACGGGTAGGCAAACTGAGCTTCTACAATTAGAGGCAGTTCTCCCTACATTGCCTGGTGCTGTTAAAGTCAGTTGTAAAGTGTCTGACACAGATCTAAAAGTATCCATGTGCCCTGACCATTACAATTAAAGCAACAAAGTGCATTGTAATTTAGTAAAATGATTCTGTTGAAATACCTGATAATTTTTTTCCCAGAGGTACTGCAATGTTATATTTTCAACGCATTCAGCTGTACAGAGTTTACTTCCAAATACTTCTTGCAGCATATTGACAAGATGCAAATGGTGCACATGTTCCATGGCGTAGAAGTGATTGAAGTCCAGCAATACAACTTCTTTGCTATGATTGTTCAGAAAGGTGTTTATTTCCGTCAGTCCATCCCATACTCGTATTCCATATAAGCCATGTATGAAGTAGATCTCTCTTCCCTCTTCTGGCTTAGAAGACACTCGTAGATCAAAATAACGAATACCTGACTCCAGCTGTTCTTGAAAAGTTAAATTCTGTGTAACAGACCATTTCTTCATCAGCTTTTTTACCAGTGAGATTTTTGCTAAGCGTTTGATTGATGCTGCCTGGTCCGGTCCAACTGGAGATTTCTCATCAACCCAAAAGCTGAAGGAATCGTGTGATCCTAAAACATAACACATTTCAAACTACATATAATATCTCTCAGCAAGAGAATCATAATAGTAATGCAGCAGAGCAGTTAAGTGTAAGATAAAAACAAAACACAGTGAGTGGGATTAGACAAAAACTGGAGCAGCTGTGCAGGGCAACCATTTAGCTTCTCTTTTTTATTTTGAAGTCTTAACTGAACAAACTGAAGAGAGAAGCGGATTGGTTGCCATGCACAGCTGCTCCAGTTTTGATAAGTTCCCCCCAGTAACTTTAAATGAGTAGCTCCCACTTTTTCTGTCAAATTTAGGCCAAAAAAAATAAAAATATTATTTTTTTATGAAAGTGGAAGTGAAATAATACTGCTTTCTATGAAAGAACGGACTATAATTTTTTTCTGCCTTAAAAGCTTGCTGCCTGTCAGCAATTTTGTTTTCCTGTACACATGAGCAGCACAGTGCACAGCCTTGGCATGCCAAGATGAAGTGACTCCCGTGCGCAAGCACAGGAGATACGTCATCAGGGCTCAGCCAATTAATCAGATGAGGAATCATAACCCAGAAGAAAACTGGGACAAAGATGGGTGTGCTGGCGAGAGAGGGGTGCAGTGATGGAGAGGGTTGCTTTGGCAGTTAAGACTTCCATAATATGCTGTGCATACATTGTGACAAAATGCTTCACAGGCCTTTTTTTCCCCTTACTTAACTTTCACTTTAATACTGATCTCAAAGTCCCCTTCCCCCACTCCCTATTCTCTTTTCTATCTTCTTCTGTTTACAGAAGGCAGGGTCCTTCTTTGGGTGTCCACTGCCTGCGTTAAATGGACACCCATGTCCAGCACCAGGGTTTTCTCATTACTCATAAAAGAGTCTGAAGGAGAGGATGTCAGTATGCGGGGACTGTCGGGGAAGAACCTGCGAGGACACATCTGCAGTGCAGCATTACCTGCCCCCAACACCATGAAATGGCATAGGCACGGGATCCAGATGATGGACTTGTGTATATGCAAGGCTCCACAATGTGGTGATGATAAACCTTCCCCCCTCCCTTCCCAAAAAAAAAAACAGGCCCATACTCCTGCATTTGCATCTGTGGAAATGAGCCCTAAAATTATTTTATTTTCACAGAAACAGATGTGTCATCTCTGGTTTGATCAGTTGTATGGTGAAACCAAACAAAGGAACAAATGTGTAACAATGTTCCAGCTCAGTCCTTTGTGTTAATAAAATAAAAAATATATTGGGAGTACCCTTAAAGATGCAGTAGGTGAACATCCTGTAATTATATGAATGATGTAAGGTTACCTAAAGCCAAAATGTTATCAGCCAGTGAACTACATGTACATTGCCCATATGCTCTGAGAATAAATCTGGATTCATTGAGCGTCAAGTGGTGATTAGCAGAAAATTGGAAGCTAATCTTCTAGATCTAGTGCAGCAGGGCAAGGAGCTCACAAATGTCAGGCTTTCAAAATCACATTAGGAACAACCAGCGCAGCATGCAAGGAAACTTACGGTATATTGAGGAAGTGTGAAACCTGCCATTGCCTTCTAAAAATGCTAGATTATTGGGTGTCATATTGTTTTGATAGCTTCAATGCTTTGAATAATGAATCTCACCAAGACCTGACTCCACATGGACTTTTAGTCTAAATGCATCTCCCGGGCCAGTGACTTAGAAAGTACTGCAGCCAGATTTTAAAGCGCAATTGAACTTTCAGTTAAAATGAGCTATATACCTTCTGTGACTGAAAACAAAAGGTCTGCAAAGTCTTACAGAGTAGAAAAGCCTGTATCCTGCCATCAGCTGCAGAGAAGGACCTTTGCTCTCTGTGGGGAAGCAGTAATCTCTTTGCAGAGGTCCCACACACCCCCTACTGAGTCAGAGCCAGACATCTCAAATCAGTGGAGAGCATGAGCTTTGCTGATTGCAGAGCTATAGGTCTGACTCAGCAGAGGGGCATCTCTGACCTCTGCAATGAGACCACTGCTCTCACACAGTTAGCAATGGTCCTACTCTGCCGCTGCTGGAAGAACACAGGCTTTTATATTTGGGCTGTGGCTGCTGTAGAAAGAAGACAAATGGTTACACATTAGACACCCTTATTTGATGCTCCTGGAATGTGTTTAGCTGATCTGAATTAAAAGTTAAATTGGGCTATAAGAAGAGCAATGACAGATCCCTCATTTCACTAACTACAGGTTTCTTTTAAGAAAGATATGGACCCAAACAAATTCAATTTTGTTGTTAAAAAGGGTGGTAGCAGCAGGCTTTGATTAAATCCAGACTTGCCCCTGTAGCCCTGCTTTTAGGATGCAGAACCATGACATCCCCGTGGCCATCCTTTTTTCTTTTTTTGTTGGTTCTGGCAAATAGCTACAGATTAATTAAAAAAGAACTCTGGGCAAAACTTGTATTAACCCTTGCAGTTGTGCCTCCCCCACACTGCAAAGGTTAACTGTTCATTTTTGTCTAGGTGCTTAAAAAAATTATACTCACCCGAACAACTGAGCTGGCTCCCTGCTTTTCTGGCCTCTGAAGCCTGTCTCCTCCTACACTGCAGAATTGGAATGTTCTTCAGTGTACACATGTCTATACACAGTGCATAGAACCTGATGATTTACCGATCTTAGACCGCTGCAGAGGAAGGGGGAGAGAGGCTGAAAGGATCTGTCTAAAGGTGGCCATACACTCTACAACCATCGCAAGACTTTAGTCTTGCGATGGTTGTACAGGGATTTAAAAAAACGTACGATCTGCCTATCTTGGACAGGCAGATCGCACTCTCGATCATCGCAAGCCCGCGTACAGTAGAAACGGTCGCACGTCTCCGTTCACACTGCTCGATTATCGTACGAAAAACCGATCGCATACGATACAAGACTTTAGTCTTGCGATGGTTGTACAGGGATTAAAAAAACGTACGATCTGCCTATCTTGGACAGGCAGATCGCACTCTCGATCATCGCAAGCCCGCCCCCCTGAGGGGCGGGCTTCCGATGACCGCAATGCTGAAGGTGCCCTTTAAGGTGCCCATACACTGCACGATTATCGTACGATAATCGTATGCGACCGGGAGTCGTACGATTCTCGGCTGGTTAGAACCGTGCTCGGAAGACAAATGCCGAACGGGCTGGTGTGCGCACGCGCACACTGCCCGTTCAGCATTGCGGTCATCGGAAGCCCGCCCCTCAGGGGGGCGGGCTTGCGATGATCGAGAGTGCGATCTGCCTGTCCAAGATAGGCAGATCGTACGTTTTTTTAATCCCTGTACAACCATCGCAAGACTAAAGTCTTGCGATGGTTGTAGAGTGTATGGCCACCTTTAGAACAAGCCGACTGCGTGGTTCAGGTGAGTAACTTTTTTTTTTAGCACCTAGACAAAAAAACAAGCAGTTTTGCCTGGAGTTTTTCTTTAAACCCTTAATGACGGAGACAATTGTCACAGTTCTGAACGTAAACAAAACATAGAATTTGAGTTATATGTCTGTCCAGCCATAATTTACCTCTTTCACATTAAATGCACCCAGACGTATTATATATTGTTTCTTAGAGGACAAATAGGGCTTTTGTTTGACATCAAATATTTATAAATGAACTGTAATTATATATTAATAAAGTCTAATCAATTGTGAGAAATTAAGACATTTTCATTTTGTTCCAAACATGCACACACACACTTTATTGTGAATATCATAATACTGATATGTGTTACTGCAATAAAACACCTTTAATTGGATTCTACAATGTCCCATGAGTACATCACCACCCTTAGAAGCTTATACTTTCATCTGTGCTTTTCACACACATCAATTCCAATTTCACAGGATATTTCATAACCCTTATATGTCTTACTGTAAAAAAAAAAGCCCCTATATTTGTAATTAGCAATGTCTAACGACTATAACGGTACCCCCATGTACTGGTTATACAGATTTTTTTTTAAGCTACGGGGCCGAATATATATTGCATACCCATTTCAAAACTTGTACATTTGAAACATTGATTTACTGGGTCTAGGTCACCTTTGAAATTATCGATTAGTTTATTA